GATAACGAATGTAGGATAGTTAAATGTTTAGTAGTTTTAGATATATATAAGGATCTTATATTAGGAATAGATTTTTGGAGTGATATAGGCCTAATTGCAAATTTTGTGGAAAATAGCTGGGAATTCGAGAACCAATCTAAGAGAATACCAGAGGTACATGGACTTGAGATATCGGATTACGAACGCAAAGTTCGAGTCGACAATATGGTTTGTGAGTTTTTCGATAAGATGGGCAACGGGTTAGGATGCGCTAAGGGAATAAAACATAAAATCGACACCGGGTCTGTTGAGCCAATAAAACGAAGGTATTACAATGTTTCCCCGTATTTACAGAAAGTAATCAATGACGAAGTTGATAATATGTTGAAGTTAGGTGTAATCGAGCCTTCTAAGTCCCCATGGTCGTCACCGGTTGTTATGGTCAAGAAATCGTCGGGTGACTATCGGTTTTGTGTGGATTTTCGAAAAGTCAATGCTGTTACTCGCAAAGACGCTTACCAACTTCCCTATGTCAATTCTATTTTGGACCAATTACGCGGAGCTCGCTTTTTGAGTACTATCGATATAAAATCGGCTTATTGGCAGATAGAGCTGGTGGAAGAAAGCAAAGACATAACATCTTTTACTGTACCTGGTCGAGGTTTGTATAGGTTCGTGAGAATGCCGTTTGGTTTGTATAATGCTGCAGCTATATGGCAAAGATTTCTTGAAAACGTTCTTGGAGCCGAATTTGACAAATCCGTTTTTGTATACCTAGATGACATCATTATCATTTCTCCAGAATTTGACAGCCATCTCGTCATTTTGAAAAATGTTTCAAAGAAACTGGTAGACGCGGGTTTAACGTTGAATCGCGATAATTGTTGTTTCTTGAAAGACAAATTGAGATATTTAGGGTACGTAGTTAATAAAGACGGCCTTAATACCGATCCGGCTAAAGTTGAGTCAATGTTAAATTATCCCACTTTGAAAAATGTTAAGGATGTTCGTAGATTCGTAGGTATGATATCATGGTATCGGCGTTTTATACGTGATTTTGCGACTCGGATGTCCTCTCTTACTAAATTAACTAAGAAAAATGTTAACTTTTCATGGAGTGTTGAATGCGATAAGGCGTTTAACGATATTAAACAATGTTTGGTATCGTCCCCGATTTTAACGTGCCCCGATTTTTCGAAAGAATTCATTCTTCATTGCGATGCATCTCAAATTGGACTAGGTTGCGTCCTGAGTAAAATTTTTGAAGACGGCGATAAAGTAATTTCTTATGCGAGTCGGTATTTAACTCCACAAGAAGCAAAGTATTCTACAACTGAGCTTGAATGTTTGGCCGTGCTATTTGGAATTGAAAAGTATCGAGCTTATTTTGAAGGTACTCATTTCAAAGTAATTACCGACCATTATTCATTGTTATGGCTTCACAAGTTACAAAATCCGTCGGGTAGGTTAGCCCGTTGGGGTTTAAGGTTGCAAGGTTATGATTTCGAAATCCTGCACCGGAAAGGAAAGTCACATGTGTTACCAGATGCATTGTCACGAGCGATAGCGTATGTTAATGTTGAGCCAAGTAAGGGTGATAGATGGTATGAAAACCTAAAAGTAAATATTAGGTCAAATCCTACCAAATATCCTAAATTCAAAATTCATGATGATAAAATACTCAGGTTTGTCAATTTTGGTTCACCGACATATGATGAAGAATCGGACTGAAAGTTAGTTATCCCAAAATCATTACGGCCATCAGTATTTCTGGAATGTCACGACGATCATCTGTCAGGCCACTTAGGCATTTTTAAAACTTATAAACGGATCAGTAGTAGGTATTATTGGCCAGGAATGCACTCAGATACCGTTAAATATGTAAGAGCTTGTGAGGTGTGTAAAGCCAATAAAGCTGATCAACAGTTACCTTACGAGAAGATGAGTAGGAGAGTCATTTCTCGTCCTTGGGAAGTAATTTGCAGCGATATCATGGGACCCTTACCGTTAACGCAAAACAAAAATAGATATATTTTAGTGGTGGCGGATTGTTTCACCAAGTACGCTCTACTATTTTCCCTTAGAACAGCGACCAGCTCGACAGTCGTAAAACATATCGAAGAAGATATTTTTCATTTCCATGGAGTTCCAGAAAGGATAATTTGTGATAATGGCAGGCAATACATATCAGGTGCGTTTACTAAGATGGTAAAATCATATGGCTGCAAAATCGTGTTTATTGCTGCGTATAGTCCACATGTTAACCCAACGGAGAGAGTGAATAGAGTGATAGGAACAATGTTAAGGTCATTTATCGATAAAGACCAGCGTGACTGGGATAAGAATTTATCTAAAATAGGGTTTGCTCTCAGAACGGCAGTGCATGAAGTGACGGGATATATCCCCGCTTACTTGAATTTTGGTAGAGAACTTATTATTGACGGACAAGCTCATAGAATCGAGAACGGAGATGGAGACATTGAATTCTCAGAAAGAACCGTTTGGCAGACCATTTAGGGGAACTTCAACAGGTTTTCAATAAGGTACGGAAAAATCTGAGGGAGTCCTATGAAAGTAGTTCAGCAAGGTATAACCTTCGACGCAGATCGATATCGTTGAAAATAGAAGAAGTTGTTTGGAAAAAGAATTATACCCTTTCGGACAAAGCTGAATTCTATGCTTCAAAGTTAGCGCCGAAGTTCATAAAGTGTAAAGTTAGGAAAAAAAATTCTACTAATGTTTACGAACTTGTTAGGTTCGAGGATGGACGCTCGGTGGGTTACGTCCACGTTAAAGACATAAAGGTATAGCAGTCTGCTCCTAGAGTAATTGGTCAAATATCTTTTTTTTTTTTTTTCTTGTGAGGGATGTGTTACGATATTTTCTTAATTACGGGTACTCAACATTTTACTATTTATTATCGTCCTATATGTGGCTCCAAATACAAGTGAGTCGAACGAATACTTTTTGCGCGCGGAAAAAAAAGACACCAGAAAATTCGGGACGGGGTCCGCGGAGATTTTGTGAGAGGTTGAATAGATATCGGCTAAGTATATGAATGAACAAAATTTTATCGTATTATACGGATAAGTCATTCAAAGTGCCTTATGCAATATTGGTGTTATTTATGGTTATATCTGGTGTATGGTATATGACTAATATTGTGAAACATTAAATTTGGATCAGTATCTGCTGTACGGTTGTTGGGAAAACGTCTTTGATGTGCTAGGAGACTCGACACTCAGAGGTAAACATTTTTCATGACCGCGTTACCCTTACAATTCAATTCATTTTCGATCACAGCTTAATCTTTGATATCATTGCTTTTTAGACGTTTTTTTTTGGGAACTATATCACCTGTCGGTATTAGAGGATGCCGTATTATCATTAGGCGGCCGTCCTCTTGAAGAGTATGGAATACCACAGCCAATATTATCAGTACATTTTGAAAAAAGAAAGTACGTGAAGGAGACCAGTTATGATACAGTGTCCTCAGAAAACACAGTAAGAAAAAATGAAGCATCCTTGAATGACGAGCAACAGGAAGTTTACAATAAAATTATCACAAGTGTAGATGCATATGACGGTCGAATATTCTTCTTATACGCTCCAGATGGAACTGGTAAAATCTTCCTTATTAATTTACTTTTGGCGAAAGTAAGAAGTACTCACAGCATTGCCCTGACTGTGGTGTCGTCCGGCATAGCTGCTACATTACTCGAATGTGGTCGAACTGCTCATGGTACTCTCAAGTTTCCACTCAATTTAATCACTGCCGAGACTCCCATTTGCAACATCTCCAAACGAAAAGCGAAAATGGAAACTGTATTGATACCACGAATCTCATTAATACATAATGATCTCCCGTTCGAATTTAAAAGATTACAGTTTCCCCTAAAAGTCCGCTTTGCCATGACAATAAACAAGTCTCAAGGACAAACTCTCAAATTTGCGGGTATTGACTTGACAGAACATTACTTCTCTCATGGACAGTTTCATGTTGCTTGCTCACGAGTGAGTTCATTCAATAGCTTGATAGCTTTAGCACCTAATGACGCTAAAACTATGATTAGTTAAGAATATTGTGTACAAAGAAGTTTTGTAGGCCCTAATTTTTTTCACACACTAAACAAAAGTAAAGCCGCAAAAACTATACCTAATTAATAATAATATTTCTTAACGCGAGCGAAGCCGCGGGCAAAAGCTAGTTTGACATAATTCGTCTCTTTGAGGCTTTAGGACCTCCGATATTGGCCATCAGGTTTGCTAGCGCTGTATTTGTTTTCTCCGCCTTGTGTACAATTTTTTTATATGCTCTACAAAGGTCAGCTTACTGTCGATCCTTAATTCCAGATACTTTACTGCCTTGTTCCTTCGATATCAAAATTGATTACCCCTATTTTTCTACGCTTTGTCAGGAGCACGACTTCGGTTTTTTCTGGGGATAGTTTCAGGCACCTACTTTTCATCCACTTCGATACTCGTAATATTGCTATATTTGCTACATTCATTAGGAGATTCTCGTTTCTGTCTGCCACCACTACTACAACGTCGTCTGCAAACCCTACCAAATCAGTTCCATCCGGTAATTCAATTGAAAAAGGCTCATCATACAGAATTTATTTATACCGCTATTTATACTAAAAGTTTTTGTGTCATCAATGGCTTCCAGTAAAATTTCTCTCTATCATATAAATTACGTTTTCCACCATTCCTCTGTTTCTAAGGGCCTCCAATATGAATTGCCATGTTGCACTGTTAAAAGAATTTTTCACATGCAGCGTTATGGCTACGCATAGATTTAGTTGAATTATTGCCTCATTGGCAATATTAACTACAGTGTTTACGACGTCTAATGTTTGACGCCCTTTTCTAAACCCGAACTGTTGGTTAGCTAAACCCCCTGTACGTACAATTTCCTCATTGAGATGTTCGAGTATTAAGTGTTCGAAGAGTTTTCCTTCAGAATCCAAGTAACAGACAGGTCTTAATGATGACGGGTTAACTATAGGTTTATTGTCTCACCTCGACAGTAATAGTTTTGCCTTTTTCCATTCGGCAGAAAAGATTCCCTGACTTATCAATTTGTTATAGACAGCTACAGCATGAGCTGGTTTGTTTGAGGCTATAGATTTGAGTATTTCTTGGGGTATGTAATCCGGTCCCGGAACTTTATTATTTTTCGGCTTTGTCGATACTCTTTGAATTTCTTCAAAGGTGAAATTTGAAAAACTCCCCTTCCTATCACAGATAAACTGAACCTTCTTGTCCACAGGAAGAAGGTGATTTGTTACGTCTTCCATATCATCAAAAGTAAGGTTTGGTTCTGATTGAAATCCAACTATACTCTTCGTGATTATTTTGTAGACGTCGCCCCAGATATCTTCGTCAACATCTTCGCAAAGCCTTTTCCAGCACTCATTTTTGGACTTCTCCATGCGGTTCCTGAGTAACTTCTTACACTTCTTGTAGGCTTCCCACAGAGTCACATTTTCGTTCAACGTTAACATTCTAGCTTTCCTGGTATACTCTCTACGTTTTCTATGGCACTGTTAACGGAGTTCCGCAATTTCACTATTCTACCAGTAGACTGGATTCTTGATGTTACCGCCTTTTTTTCTTGGCATAGTCAAATCGCATATTTCCCTCAGTTTCGCAGAGAATTATCCAGGGGTAATAGGGGGTTATTTTCATCAAGTGTAATTCGTTCAATTTTGCCACTTTCAGCTTTTTAACCTGCCATCCTTGGTTCTGTCGAACAGATTCTGGTGCTTGTTTCTCATCAACCACATCGAATATAATATACTATGCATTTTCTGCTTGTTGATACCAAGTGATGGGATATGGCACAATATTACTGATATATTTCATAACGAACTAATTTCATACAATCTAATAGCACAACCTTTCAATACCAGAAACACATGTTCAATTTTATTGCACAATATTATTGCCATATTGTGCAATACAATTGTGCGTTCAACACCCGTCCGACATTGGAAAAAAATATTTTGAAATATTATATTAACTTTAATTCCATGTTTTTGTGGAAACTACACTCAAATGTTTTGTATCTCCGTCTTATCCTTGAGGATATACACATGATATCCATGGGATATCATAGAAATTAGATCTGAAACTTACCTGCAAAACTCCTTATCCCCAGACAATTCGTTGGATGTAGCTGTTTTAGCAAAAAACGACAGCAGGCCTCTCTCACTTCTTCCATTTGAAGAAGACTACTAGCAGGAAGTAAAACCTGAACATTGTCGACAGTAATAGTTATTTGACCTGTGTAAGCATAGTCAATGAGCAGGTCAATAGCCGTTGGATCCATATCGTGAATTTCAATTTCTGGTAGGCATTGTTCTTTCATGTCCCCTAAGAGCAACACAAAAAGTGATCAACAAACAAGCAATATTGATTCAACTAAGACAGGGAAAAGATATTGTAGTTTGATTGGTTTACCAAATCACACAAAAAAAGAAACAAATAGAGTTGAGAATATTCATTGATAAATAATCGAAACTTCTATAATCACATTAAACATTGACGTAAACTTAAATAAATATGAAGAATTTCAACTAGGAAACTTGGAATATAGTTGTGTCTTCATTTCACCGTGGATATTATGATGAAATCACAAAAATTGATCATAACAGATACTTCAAGATCTTCAGGAAGAACATGACCACAAAATATTCATCCAATATAGATACATCACTACCTCTAATATTATGAACTTTTATTTGTAACTATCGTTACTGCACTTTCGTCCTATCTGGAGTTTTATTGTAGTGTGATAAAAAATATATCAGCCAGACTCTGCGAGCCAATAAAATTCGTTTCAAAGACGAGTCCAAAAACCAGATAATTCTAAATGAATTTTATCAGTTGGGACTTCCATTGTCTAATATGATCCTACTATGATTCGAAATCTATGAAAGAAATAATAGAATTAGTATTCCTCCCTGTTGATGATCTCAGCATGGGAACATTCGATGTTATTCTGATGAGTCCAAACATGCTTTGCAATTCACGATTTGCTGGTTTCTCCTCGGTAAACGATCTTCTTCAAACACTACTAGTATAGTAGATTTTGGCCGTCAACTATGTCAATCTGTAATACACACTAAATAAATCATCTGAATAAACTCAACTCGTCATATTTGGTTCATTCATTTGGCGTTGCGATGATCATGAGAAGAATTATAATAAAATGTACTTACCATTGAACATGGCAAAAAAATATGGACTAACTGATGCTAGAACAACTTTGTGTCCTCTAAATTTGTCTAATCCTATTTTCAAAGTAATATCACATAGCTACAACAAAAGATGAAAAAATATCAATACTAAACTATTATTAATTTTTGAAACGCACTCAAATGACTGATTGAATTATGCATGAATCAGTAATTTCCAACTTTACAACGAAAAATTACGTGAAAGAGAGAAATATGGTGAGAAAGTGATGATACGGTTATACTTCATGTATAGGTACAAATTTTGTACCCGAGCTGTTTCGCTGATATTTCAGTGGGAGCATGAGAGTTTGGTTCTCAAGACTTTTTTCAATGTGATAGAGGATATATCTTGCATCACTTTTTCTGCAGAGACTCAATAATTTATTTCCTGCTCATGAAATTATCTACCCGATATGGCTTACTGAGTGAAATGTCATGGGATATTTCTTGGTTGAAAAATCTTGTTCATATCCGTTTACACAATTTACTTTCAATGAATCAAAAATGTGAAAGCTGTAAATCAAAAACATGACTCAAAATAGAGAAAGAAAAGAAATTATATTAACTGTGGTTCAAATTATTATTACCTACATTTTGAAAGTAATATTTTATAAGTAAGATAGCACCACTAATGAGACCTTATTGGATCGAAATGGCACTCTCTGCTGGATCAGGAATGCTTTATCGATATTATAGCGATCATACAACAAACAACCAATATAAAAAAAATGGTATGCTAATGTCTGTTGTATGAATATGAGTACTATTTTTTAATTTACCCAGGATTATTACGAGTTTGCAGTGATACCTCTGCAAATTACACTACTTGATAAAAAAGTTATCTATATGAAGAAAAGAGAATTGAAACTTCCTATGTTTTTTACACCTTTTATTTGTAATAACGTTAACTGCAGTTTCGTCCTATAGGGACATTTTCAAACGTATACATTAAGTTTAATGTATAAGTTTATAGGACGAAACTGCAGTAACGTTAGTTGTCAATGAAAGTGGTAAATAACATAGAAATATTCCATTCTCTATTCTTCATTATGATTTTCTACCACGTAGTAACGGCTACATCCATCAATTCATTGAAGTTATCTATATATTTCTACACAAAAGTATACGAATTTTACATGACTATTTCCTTCAACAAAAACTGACAGCTATAAAATTACCATTGATATCCATTCAGTAGAATAATTGATTTAGCAAAAGTGTTTTGTGGTCTATTTTATCGTCATTTATATTATCTGTTCAAATTACCCTATCTATGCCTGTAGTCCATATTTGCTACTGATTTCAGTTTCATTAAGAATACATTTTATTTTACTTCTTTGGGAGGTTTATTAAGAAGAATGTGTAATTCTTAGCAAACTAGTGGTATATTTATATTTCTGGATGAACATTTATCGTCGCACAACATTGACATAACCGCTTATTATTTTATAAGTTTGGTATTTATATATGAAATTGTTAGTTTTAATGATGAAGTTTGTATAGAAATGTAGGCCTACACGGCTGGTGTCAACAATAGTTAACACATTAAGAAGAGTACTTCGACCACACCACTGAAGATGACTGCCGAAGTTGCAGTTGAAACTTTAGGAGAATAAAAGTAAACAAGACCGCGACAAAACCTCGAAGCCAATCAAAACAATCAAGTTTGTGCAAATAATCATCGATTGCCAAAATAATTCTGTTCCCGGGGGTCTCTGAATAATCCAAAGATATCAAGATCACGATTTGAATATACAGTACACTGTATTGCAAATACGCAACATTAATTGATACTTTCACGCGAATTATCAGTGTTTATTTTTTTCTTCTCTGAAACAAGTGGCAAATAGTTCTTTTTATATTTTGGAATTCACGTCAGGAAGACTATAATATATGAATTTTTAGTCAGTTCGTACTTGAATAAATAATAAGAAGTAATTAATTTTTGTAAGTTTTGTTCAATGTTTGGTGGCAGTTAGAGGTACCATTTTCAAACTCGCTTCTTTATTTGTTATAGCTGACAAAGAGAAAAAACTCAGAAGATAATTTTGAATTCATGGAGAAACTTCGCAATGGAACTAATCTCCCCAAAAACAAAATGTATCAGGTCGCACTCAGGTCTACTTTTTCAAGCACTCAGGATAATACTAGTGTTACTAACACTAGTTATTGCGTTTTATGCAATAATATTCATCTGCTATAAAGGTGTTGTAACGGCTAGTTTAGCGTTACTGTTCAGGAACACCCTCTAATATCCTTTGAACAAACTGAATTCATGGTTGCCTACTAACAGTTGAAGATTGTTTGACAGGCAAAACATAGATACTCCACAAAAAGTGTTGAATGCAGGTTGATTAAAAAAGGGCTCTCGAAGTTTGAACAAGAAATTGAATTGAATGAACGTAGCGAACGTTTCGCAAAAACTTTAAAGTGATTCTTGCATCCAAGTTTTGTTTTTTTTTTGTTGAATTTTATGTTACAGTGCTTGTTGTGTTGTTTTGTATAGATATGTTATACACATATTTGTGACATTTGTTAGAAAACTACTACATTCAGAAGGATTTACAGTCGTTGCTTGTTTTTACATAAATTTTTTTGCAACTTGAAACCAAACATTTTCAGGCAACAGATTTCAACGAGTATGATCGAATAATATCCTCATCAGAAGGGGTAGTTTTAACCCTATTAGTAATTATACAATATGTTGAAATTTGTTTCTTGGCGCATTGTAGGGTCTAAGTATTAGGCTAATTCATTTCAAGAGGGCCAGTCTCAATCAGTTAGGTCGTTGGCAAAATGTTGATGTACTTTGATAGTGTTGAACAAAATACCTTTCGTGTAGTTGGATTCGAGAGTGCAGTATTGCAGTTTACCCGCCGATTGTCAAACTATGCTGCAGAATACTCTCAAGAGATTATTTCCAATATTTCGATACTTTTCATTGTCATCATCAGAAACAAATTATTTTTGAGTTGATGCAGTTTTCTCTAGATATTTTTGTTATTTTCATTCATTAACATATGAATCTTATTTCTCATATCAAAAGCATATTGTCTCGGTCAACCATAGTGATTACTTATGATTCCGATAATGAAAATCACTGCAAATATTATGAATGTGATAGTCTGTGAGGATGGATAAATGTATGTATGTATGTATGTATGTATGTGTATCTTTCACGCCTAAAAGACTTAACGGATGTTGATGAAACTTTACATAAATACAGCTTATACATCAGAATAGCATAAAGCTTATATTTTACAAAGTTTTCGTGTAACTCTTGTCATAATATAACGTAAGTATTAAATAAGTGCGCTGCATATACCGTTGGAGTTACATGAAGATTATGTTCCGTAAAATTGTTGATCTTACAAAAGTTCTGAATGAAAGTCCGCGATAGCATATATCTACCTCTTATTTGGTAGCCACTATATGCAAAAAAGTGTTTCATAAATACATTTGAATTGGATACTTTTTCTCAATGCACATTTTAGAATATCTGTCAAATTCTTATGCAAAATGATGCAATTGTTGTTTTAAGTATTCAATATATATAAACTTTGTCTATTACACTAAGTAATTTGGACGAACCGTTTGAAAGTTGTTACGTGTCGTGTCTATAGTAAGACGACGGAGAACGATGCGCAGGGGCTCATCGAACCTGATATTTAAC